CCACAAGAGCACACAAAAGACAGAAGACAGCAGCCCCATGCCTGGATCTTCTTTGGACTGTGATTCTAGTAAATCCTGGGTGAGAAATCAGAACATTGTGAGGCAGTGGGGTTCTGAGTGGACACTGCCAACAAGAGAACTTACTATTTATTTTGTAGGTGAGATGAGCCACTGTGGTGACTCCTTTTAAAGGATCCTTAGCTTTCACTGGGCAACATAATGCCTGTGATTTGCTAGGTTAAGCATAACTAGGGAGGAAAATATGGAATGGCCATAAGACAGCAACTATGGATGCTGGGTGCTGAACACATGGGAGCTCAGTACTCAAGTGTTTTTATTTTTACTTGGTTTCTTCAGTACTGGGGTTCAAATTTGATCCTTTACTGAGCCCAACCAGGGACTCCAGGCAAGTGATCTGCTGTGGCAGAGGAGCAGGAAAAGCTAGGAAGGGATAAATACATCTTTCAAGTTCAATATCAATTCCAAAGTAAACAGTAAAAAGAAACATACAGAAACCATCACCAACACAGACACACATGCTCATATACTGAGTGCACATGCACTGAAGCCCAACCAAATAAGAGGCTGAGTCAAACCCCAGGGACAAATATGACCTAGCAATGTAAGCCTGTTATCCCAGCTACTCTGCAGACAGAGCGAGGAAATTGAAAGTTCAAGGCAACTGTGGGCAACTTAGTAAGAACTTGGCTCAAAATAAAAAACGAAAAGAGGCTAGAAGGTGTGACTCAGTGGTAGAGCACCTACCCAGAATTCCCAAGTGAGGGGGCTGAGGAGTGTGGCTCAGTGATAGAGCATCTGCCTAGAATCCCCCAGTGAGGGGCTGGGGTGTGACTCAGTGGTAGAGTGCTTACTTAGCAAGTACAAAGCCCTAGGTTTGATCCCTGGTACCACAGAGGTACACTCCCTCTGCCTGCATGCCTGGCAGCTCTGGGTGGTTCTCCACCCAAGGATCAAACACAACATATCAAGACCAGCTATGTGAGCAGACACTTTCCCAACAAGGATAACTGAAAGTATTGAAGGTTTGAAGACATACTTCTAGTAACCATCAGGGCTGGATTCTGGTTTCCCTCCTGTGTGGGAGATGCCTAGGAGAGTGTGTGGTGTGTGCAAATGTCACCCATATGGCTGTCACTGTCATCTACCCTAAGAGTGGAGTAGAAGGCAGCTGAGGATGGGGCTGCTTTGGGAATCAGTGTGGGCGTCCACAAGGGACAAAACTGCCAAGCCTGGAACTACTGGAGCTTGCTGAAGGCAGGCAAACTGATGCAAAACCGACTAACAAAACAAAAAACGAGCACAGAAAAAATTGCTATTATTTCCAAATCACTACTGAATTTTTTCATTTCAAGATAATAATTGGAGGGTAAAAAAGGGAGCCTTGGGGCTGGAGAGAGGGCTGTGGTGGCAAAGTGTCAGCAAGCATGAGGGCCTGACTTCATATCACCAGCACCTAAGCAAAAGATGATTGCAGTGTCACACTCCAGTAACCCCAGTGATGCAGAGGTAAGAGGTTTTCAGGGCTTGCTGGCTGTCAGTCTAGCCAAGCTAGCAGGCTCCAGGTTCAATAAGAGACCCTTTCTCAAAATATAGGATGGAGAGTGACAAAGCATGGTACTGTGATACTAGAGGCCACCTCTGATCCCAACATGCACGCATGCATGTCGCGTGCGCGCGCACACGCACGCACGCACACACACACTGTACCTACAACTGTCTTGGTCTGAACTCACTGGAATATCGGATTATTTCCAATGTCAACATGCTTAAACACCACTCTAACCCACAACTTGACAACATCCTGTCCTATGCATGAGACCATTTCTTTTGGAGTTTCCTATAGTCAAAAACAACAGGAGACCCTTGGAATTGCTCAGCTGGTCTGCTGACAGACTTTTCTGAAGCAGTACAGATAGGACATTCATTTGCCAGTTTTCCTTACACAAGCTGGTTATGGCCTCTGCTGACAATGACTGTGTTCAGAGACAACCCTCAAGTCAAATATGCACAGGTGGCCTGGAGAAATGGCTCAGCTGGTGTTTGCCACACAGGCCTGAGACCCAAGTTCGATTCTTAGAAGTCACATAAAGCCACATGGCGGTGGCACATGTCTTTAATCCTAGCACTCATGAGACAGAGACAGATCTCTGTGAATTCGGGGGCAGCTTGGTCTACAGAGTGAGTTCCAAGACAGCCAGAAAAACCCTGTCTTGAAAAACAAAACAAACAAACAAAGTCACATTAAAAAAACAAAAAACAAAACAAAACCATGTTGATGAGGGATCATAATCCCAGCACTGAGGAGGCAGGAAGAAGGATAACCTTGGGATTTACCAGCTAGCCAACCTAGACATTTAGATTAGGTGAAACGCCCTGTCACAATAAAGAAGGTGAAGGGTAAATGAAGACATCCAAAGTCAACTTCTGGCCTCCACACATGAACACACACACACACACAGAGCACAGGGCACTCTGCGCCCATCAAAAGGGCTGCAGGGCTCAGTGGTAAATCACTTCCCAGCCAGCTAAAGCCACCATGCTCAGACACGTACCCACTACACATGCCAGCTTCTGAGAGACACATTTCCAGGCACTGCACACACCAACATAATTTCAAAAATACCAGCTTTGGTTTATTCAGTAGATGAGCAGGACCCTGTGGTTTGAAAGTTTGCCCACAGTGGAGAAGACAATCCTGTGTGAAGTAAAGCCTTTTATTCAAAAGGCAGTGAGTAAGACTTGCACTTGCTACACAGGGTGTTGAGGTTTGAATCCCCAACATCTATATAAAAAGACAGGTGTTGTTTCCTGCAATGCTGCAACCCCAGTGCTGTGGGGATGGAGACAGGGAATCACTGGCTGCCAATCTAGATCCAGGTTCAGCTGGAGACTCTTCCTGGGGAAATAAGGTGGAGAGTGACAGAGCAAGATATCCAGTGGCCTCTTCCTCTGATTTCTGCACGGGTAGCCCCATCCCTACAATACAGTAAGTAAGCTAGATACTGGTAGGGGTAGTTGGGACAAGGACCCTATGATGATGACTGTGGGTTGAGGTGTTCCCAGAATCTGAGCTACAGGAAAGAGTGCTAGGAAGGTGGAAAGAATGGCCACCTGTCAATTTCTCAGGCCCATGAATGCCTTCAATAACCCATTGCCTGAACAACTGTCCCTCCAGGCAATCTGGCTTTATTTTCTTTCAGTGATGGGGATGGAACCCAGAGTCTTGCATGGAGCTAGGGAATTGTCCTACCTCCCAGCTACAGTCCAGCCCTTGTACACTCTACAGGGGCATAGCTTTCAGGTTTGGGAAAAGAAGGTGACATTCCCTCCCACAGCCTAATAAGATGAGTCACTGCTGGCATTCAAAGTTACTCGGTATGGAATCTATAACACATGTGGACCCTTGGAAGGCAGACAAGAGTACTCCAGACTTGGGAATGACCCTAGCAAAAACTCCACACTCAGGGTGCTCATAAATGTAAGTAACGAGATACTCACACCTGGCGTGAACCTTGTCAATGGAACACTAGTGACAGTTAGAAGCAATTACTGGACAGAAAAAGAAAGTGCTGGGAAGGAAGTAATTAACATGGCTTTCTCCTCGTACACAAGATCTTTAGGTCTGAGACCTCTTGGTGGCAGAGGACTGGGAATAATGGGAGCTTGGAAGAGGGTAAAGTAGGCATGGTGTTAAAGCCTCTGCTTCCAGACATGCTCTTAAGGCATGGATTGTACCCCAAATCCCAAGGCAGCTCCCTGGACCTAATCTCCCAGGTAACACCTCCCAGGCAGGGGTAGGGCAGCTCATCAGTCCTTCCGAGTCCAGGCCAAGGGAATGAACACTGGGGTCCTGACCTATGGGAGTCAAGGACAGGAGTGTACCTAGACTATTCAGATCACAGGGTCAGAAGTAGTCCTGGTGGTTCTGACTAAATGGAATCAGGGTTGAGGGCTATGCGTGGGGGAAGGAGTTACGGTCAACCAGGCTGAGTGAGATCTCATGGCTGCCATGGACTTAGGCAGGGGGTGATCCTGAAGCGGGGAGTTGGGGAGTGTTTCAGGGTTGGAAGAGTCTGGGGTGACCCAGAGTCCAGACTGGTGAAGATGGAGGTCAGAGTGAGGTTTAGGCAGGGTGACAAAGGGTTAGAGGTGGCCCTAGGGCTTTCAGGTTAAGTAAAGTCAGGGGTAACGGCTCCTAGTTGGTAAGATAAGGGTCAAGAGCAACCCCAGGTATTGAGGACAGGTGGGTTTAGTGGTGACCTGGGTTCAGAAAATAAAGGGTGGAGATCACAGGCAACCAACTCCAGCATGGGAGGGGTGGGGGCCAGATAGAGTAGGGGAGAGAAACAGACAGAGGAAGGGGGTTAAAGTGAACCCGTGTTTAGGCCTGTCCAGGTTCGAGGTGACAGAGAGTTTCAGGCTGAGTGGGTCTGGATTGGCCCTACCAGTCAGTCAGAGCCCACCCAGGATCAGAGCCCAGTGAGGTAACAGGGAGATCAGGCTTAGTTGAGTCGCGATTAACATCAAGTAATCACGGGGTCAGAGCCAGGTGAAGGTCGAGATCACTGGTAACTTAGAGTCAGGCTTAGATGGGTGGAGAAACCGAGTAACCAGGGGGCCGGAGCTAGGTGGGATCAAGAACAGTGTAAACAGGGGGTTAGAGCTAGGTGGGGTCAAGACTGGGAGATGACTAGGTAATCAGAGCCGGGTGGAGTCGAGATTGGAGGGGTCGAGATGGGGGTGGGACCAGGGGCTAGGACCCAGCAAAAACGAGATGGGATGGGGGGGGGGGGGGACACAAACAGAGGCCAGGCCAGGAGGAGTCAAGCTCAGGGGGTGGTGACCAAGGGGTTGAAGCCGGACAGGGTCGAGATCAGCGGGTGACAAGGGACCTGGCTGGGTGGGGTCGAGATCAGCGGGTGGCCAGGAGAGTCAGGCCAGATCCGGAGAGGGGTGATCGGGGGTGGAGCCGCACTCACTGTTGGGGCAGCTGAAGGGCTGGTGCTCCCCGCCTCTGGAAGGCTCCGTCCACGAAGACACCGTTCTTGCCCAGGCAGCGCAGATAGAAGTGAGGCTCCTGGAAGCTGAGCTGCAGGTGGCGCCGGGAGATGAAGCTCGACAGGCCCATGCTCAGGTCCACCGAGCCCTGCGACGAGTTGCGGCCGATGGTGACGCTGGGCTGTCGCATCAGAAACTCGAACTCCCGGCCCTCCAGGCGCGCTAGAGCCGGCCCAGGGCTCTGGCGCACGGAGGCGGCGGCCGCGGCCACCAAGGCGGGCGCGGCAGTGGTGGCAGTGGCGGCGGTGGAGGGCACCGGGCCGGGGCCGGGCACAGCGGGCAGGGCGGGCGGCCCGGGCGGAGGCTGTGTCGGCGGCGGCGGGGACGCGGTGGCCGGGAAGGCGGCGGCCGCGGCCGCGGCACACAGCACGGGGCTGCAGGGAGCCGAGCGCAGCGCCAGCAAGGCGCGGGCGCCGCTGTCCTCGCCGACTTCGGCCATGTTCGCGCAGCTCCGAGCGGCTCCGGCGGCGGCCGAGGCGGCGCGGGGCGGGGCGGGGCGGGGCGGCACGCGCGGAAACCTGGAGTGGATCACGGCGCGGAACGGAGCCGGAGCGCTGCGGGACCCCTGTCGCTGCGCGCGCAGCTTCCACCTTGGGGGCCGAGGCAGGGAGGCAAAGAGCCCCCTTCTCCTGCCCCGAAGTGCGTGCGATGGTGTTCTGCAGGTCAAAGTTGCCCAAGGATGCATGTGATGTCTTAGCTCATCGCCGATTGCTTCTGCACGGCTGTTCTTTTTATGTTTTGCTTTTTTTTATATATCGTTGCAAATTACATTTTACTCATTCATGTATTTACTTGTGATTCTTCCCCATACCTGTGTGTGTGTGTGGGGGGGTTAGAGGGGACAGCTTTCGGGAGTCTATTCTCTTTCTCCTGCCCTGCCTATTCTGAGAATGGAATTCAGGTCGAGCTTGGTGACAAGCTCCTTTAACTTACTGATCCTTCTTGCTGGTCCTTGTTTTGTTGTTGTTTGAGATACTGTCTCATTCCCAAGATGGCCTGGTTTGTCTGCCTAGACTAGGCTGGCCACAAATTCATGATTTTTCTGCTCCATCCTCCTGAGAGAGACTATTACAAGTGTGTGCCATCAAACCTAACCCTTTTAATTAATTCATTTTTCATACAGAGTCTCTTGCTATGTAGCTCAGACTGGTTTCCACTGGCGACCCTCCTGGTTTAAGCTCCCAGATTCTTGCTGGAGTCCCAAGTGTACACCACCACACCTGATTTCCGTTCCTTTTAAGGTGAACAGCTATGCAGGATCCTAGAGACTGTGGACACCTTGGAGATGGACTGTAGTTGAAAACATTTAAATGGTGAATTTGGCAGCAATTTCACAGTCCTGCACTGGGATACTAATCCAGCCAAGTCTTCCTCCAGGAACACACGTGAGCGAGCCTGGGAAGGAGCTGGCTGAGCTGCTAAAGTACATGATTCATTCATCCTCCAGGATTGGAGTTCATTCCCCAGCACCGACTTCAAAAGCCATTGAGAGCTTCTACAATCCCAGTGCTTTAGGGTGGAGACAGACAGATCGCTGAAGTTCATTGGCCAGCCTGCCTAGCCAATCAGTGAGCTCCACGTTCATAGTAGAAACACTGTCTCAAAACAAAAACAAAAACAAAAACAAAGCCGAGCCAACAAGAACAACAAAAAAGGTAGAGCAGGTCTGTGGAGATGCACACCTTTAATCCCAGGATTTGGGAGGCAGAGGCAGGCGGATCTCTCCGAATCTGAGGCCAGCCTGATATACAAATCGAGTTCCAGGACAGCCAAGGCTGTTAGAGAAACCCTGTCTTGAAATACCAAACAAGTAATAAAAAACATACTTGTGCACTCATATGCACAAGTGCACACGGACACGCCCGATCGCGTTCCAGCGTTCGCGTGCGTATACATACACACACATATGCAGGCACGCAAACATTCATATGTACACACACAAAAGAATTTTTGAAAACAATGATCATGAAAATAGAGACAGAGGTCCTGCCCTCAGTGAACTTCAGGACTAATGAAGATACAGATATGAAATAAGACCCATAATATCCAGCATAATGCTCACAGCCATACAAGGTATGTGTTGACAGGGTGCAAGTGTGGGGTGTGTGCCAGAGTGCGTGGGGAGGGACAGCTAGAAGGGAGATTTGGCTTACTTACGATCAGTTTTCCCTGCCTACCAAAGTCCCATTCTGGACCTAAACAGGAGAGCAATCACCCAGTTATAAAGCAGTGGTTCTCAGCCCTCCTAATGCTGTGCCCCTTTAACACAGTTCCTCATGTTGTGGTGACTCCACCAAAAACATTATTTCGTTGCTACTTCATAACTGTAATTGTGCTACTGTTATGAATCATAATGTAAATATCTAATATGTAAGCTCAAGAGGACCCACAGGTTGAGAACCACTGTTAGGCTAAAACTAAGGAGCTGGAGAAATGGCTCAGAGTTTAAGAACGGCTACACCTAGAGCTAAGCATTTTTGAGAGGCATGGGACAGAGCTTTTGGTTTTGATGTAGGTTTGGTTTTGTATTACCTTGGTCTTTTGGGTTTGTTTGTCTGTTTGTTTGTTTGTTTGAGATCAAGTTTCTTGTAGTTCAGGCTGGTCTGAAACTTGCTCTATAGCTAAAGTTGAATTCCTGGTCCTCCTGCCAACCCCTCCAATAGCTAGAATTACAGGTGGGTACCATCATGCCCTGCTCAGGTTTTCATTTCATTTTTTTTTTCAGTACTGGGGTTGAGTCCAGGGCCTCGTGCATGCACGTGCTTTGATACCGAGCTGTAAGTGCCCCACCCCTTTAACACAATATCTATCTAGCTATTAGTTATGTGTGGTCAGGGGGCAGCTCTCCTTCCACCATGTGGGACCTGAGGAATAAAACCTGGGTCCTCAGCCTTGGTGGCAAGCCCCTTTACCCACCCCGCCATCTTGCCTGCCTGCCGCCACTTCTTACAGCTTCCATTTTCAGCTGGGTTTCACCTAGTTCTCCACACTGGCTTTATTCTTATGCTGTAACTCAGACAGACCTTGAACCTGAGACCCTCCTGCCTCAGCCTTCACGGTAGCTAGGTAGGATTACATGCCTGAGCCACTAGACCTGGCTCAGAGACAAACTGTCTGAGGAACTGTGGTGAAAGAACCTGATCGAGGGGGAGCACAGTGAGAGAGGCTAGGAGCCTCTTCCCCAGACGAGGATTCTTGAAGCAGAGTTCAGAGGATGAGCTAACCCTGGCTGGGGCTGGAGGCTAAGTGTGGGAGGACAGCTTCCAGCCAAGGAATGTACATGCTAAACACTGGAAGTCCTGTGCCCAGGGGGGATGGACAGAAGGTCACTGTGGCAGGGAAAGAGCAACCAATTCATCTGAACTAGAAGAGTGAAGGACTGTGCTGGAGTCTTGAGGATCTATGTAGGACCCCCCTCCAGAGCCCTGGAAAACACACCCATGTGCTACTAATGGAGTCACCCTGGATGCCATGGAGTTTGACTAAAATGGGGGTCAAAGTGGCTGTGGGAAGCTGATTAGGAAACTGCTAGACTAGGTAAACCAGGTTTAAGGAGAAAGATGGGGGAAAGCCAAGGGTCCCAGAAATAGTGAACACACACACACACACACACACACACACACACCAGGTTGGTGACATGATGGGAGATGTCATTCTATAAATATGTTTCTCTTATTGGTTAATGAATAAAGCCCTATTGGTCAATAGGAAAGAAAAATAGGCAGGACTAGGAGACAAGGGGATTCTGGGGGATGCAGTGGGAGATTCAAGATGTAGGGACTTGAGAGAAGATGTCCAGACCCCCTCTCCAGTAAGATAAAACCAAGTGGAAACACTTAGAGTAATAAAAAATGGGTTAATATTTAAGACAGAGCTAGCCAATAAGAAATGCCAATAACTGGCCAACAGCTTTATATCTAATAGTGTCTCTGTTATTCGGGGCTGCTGCTGGTGGGAAAACGGCTTGTAACCATGGCACACACCTGTAATCCCATTGCTCAGTAAGTGGAGGCAGGGGAATCTCCCAAGAGTACAAAGTCAGCCCAAGCTACATAGTGAGAGCCTGTCACAACCATGTAGTGCTCAGGAGATGGCATAGTCAGTAAACTGCTTTCTGTGAATGCACGAAGACTGGAGTTTGATTCCTAGAACCCAGGAGAGAGAAAAGAGACTACATGGTGGTATGTGCTTGTAATCCAACCTCTGGGATGATGGAGACTGGGGGATGCCTGGAGCTTGTTGGCCAATCTAGCCTAGAGAGACGCATGTGCACACACATACACTCATACATGCATATATACATACATAATGTACCTGTGCTCACTTGCATGAAAACTCCAATGTAGTATTACCATAGGATACCAAATTCCATTTCTGAGCATATCCAAAAAAACTGAAAGCAAGTTGTGAGGGAGTAAAGCTGTGTTCCTGACAGATTTACTCACAATAGCTAGAACGTGGAACGAAGTCTAGACTTCAAGCCGGGCGTTTGTGGTGCATGCCTTTAATCTCAGCACTTAGGAGGCATAAGCAGGTGGATCTCTGAGTTCAATGCCAGCCTGGTCTACAGACCAAGTTCCAGAACAAGCAGGACTACACAGAGAAACCCTGTCTCAATAAACAAATAAGCAAACAAACAAACAAAAAAGAATTCACACACGTTTTACATATATCTAAAGGAATATTTGCCTGAAAAAGGAAGGAAAATGTGATAACCTGCTGCAACACAAATGAATCTTGATGACACAATGTTGAGTGAAATATGCCAGATCTGACATAGCGCCTCATGTAGCTCAGGCTGGCCTGGAACTTAACTATGTAGCTGAGGATGACCTTAAACTTCTGGTCCTCCTGCCTCCACCTCTGAGTGCTAAGATTGCAGGTATGTGTCATCACATCCAGTTAATACAGTGTTGGGGATCGAACCCAGGACCTCGTGCATGTTAGGCAAGAACTGTTACAAGTAGGTTTTCCCTGCCAGCCTGGACCCACTGCGGCGCCAGCCCCAGTTAACACACAGAGACTCTGTATTTGATATAACGCTGTTGGCCAGTTACTTGTTTCTCATCGGCTAGCTCTGTCTTTAGTATTAACCTATTTCTATTAATCTAAGTATTTCCATGTGGTCTCATCTTACCAGAGAGTGGGGCTGGCATCTGCTCTTCCAATCTCTACATGCTGACTCCTCCCTACTACTTCCTCAAATCCTCCTTGTCTCCTAGTCCTGCCTATCTTGCTTTCCTATTGGCCAACAGTGCTTTATTCATTAACCAGTATGAGAAACATGTTTACAGAATGACATCTCCCATCATCTCCTCTTTTCTGTCTAAATAAAAAGAAGGGTTTTAACCTTAACATAGCAAAATATATCACATAATAGTTATCAAATAAGAATCACAGTTAACAATATTTAGTCCATTAACATTTAGTAAGATTTAAGAAAATATTCCACCATCTATTCTATCTTTGTGAGTC